TCTGAATTGAAACTTGGCCTAGGAAAGCTTAAGATGAGACTACTTGTGATGCCAAACTTCTTTCCACTAGTACCACTGAAAAAAGTTATTAAGATACTGATTACTAGGATATAGAAAATGAATAGATGGAGAAACCCTCAAGCTTTGTAGGAGAAAAGTTCTGATGTTGTAGCACAAAAATTCTGAATAGTGAATAGAAAGTATGTACAATGTTGATCAATAATTTTCAGTAGGCTTTTTGATTGGTATGATTTTTATTATATCTAAGAAATACAAAAAACAATGGGGATTATATAAGGGATTTCATAGGTGTATTGAGTAAATGTGTCTTTAATCAAGGTATTAATGGTGAGGAAACATTAACCAAGTAATGTGTATGATCTCTAGTGAATTTTTCCACAAGTAAAGTAGCTTTTCTTTTAAAAGAATAGTACTAGTTATAAAATTGCAAATATTAATCCTATAGAAGAAAACAATGAAGAAGAATTCATAAAGAAACAGGGAAAATGAAATTCAATGACAGAGAGACTCATAAAGTTACCTTCACAGAAGTTTAAACCATGAAAGCAGGAAGATGGTGCAATGAAAATTGGACCCCAGTCCAAAAAATAACAATGTAAATGATACAGGTTTCACTTGAATTTTGCATATCTTCTTTCTTGAGAAATTAGGGGGAACCAGTATTTCCCCAAGTAGATATCTTAGAACTACAGTTCTCTAAAATGCTCTCTTGGGAAGAAAGTGATCCAATCTTAAGGGGACTCACTAGCATTTTAAAGTCCCTGAAAGGTCCCATAGGAATGAAAACTGATCATTTTTTCCAAACGTGTTTGACCATGGAACCCAATTTTATGTAACACATGTTAATATCTGCCAAAGACCCCTTTTTACCAAATTTTCTCCTAGAAAATTAGATCAAAATATTAGAAATAATAAGTTCTGAGATAAGCTCAGTATATTTGAAAGTTGTCTGGCCAATACATCATGATTACCCATTTCTTCTTCTATATAAGAAAGGGTTGGATTTGCTTTCTTTAAAGCCTTTTCCAAATATAAAATTGTATAATTTCAAAATGCTTACAAGCATATTTGACATTCATATCCCTATTTAATTTTTAGAAAAACCTGAACCAGGTCAATCAAGTGCTTATAAACTTCTACTGTTTAGATAAAATGTATGTAATCCTTTTAACATATTCTTCATTATGTATATATTTTTAATGTACAAATATTCCCTGAGTGAAAGTATCTGCTTAAGGGATTTTTTTTCATTGACCCTCATGGTCTTTTGGTCTCTTTGAATGTGTCTAATTATACTAAAGAGCTAAATTTAAATAATTTTTTATGTAACTCATTCCCTTTCTCCTTCCCATTAGCATGGATAATCAAGAATTCATGGTATTATGGATTTTTAAATGTCAGAGATTGTAAAGCTGTCTTGCCTATTACAGTAAAACTTCATTAAGGGCTATCATGTATTCAAAGTGGTATATAATTCAAAGCAGCTGTATACCCAGTTCCCTTTCTCCAGATGTACTATTGTCTTTTGAATAAAAATGTTAGATAATCTAAGCACTCTTTAATTTCAAGCCTAGTTTCTAGGTGCCAGGAATTTCAAGGTAGCTATGCTTTAATAAAGTTATTATATCCCCTTACCATCAAACCCATCAAAAATGATGGTTTCCTACCAGGGATTTTATAAGAATGGCTCCTATTGGAAGTCATCATTCACCCTTGATTATGCCTTTCGTGAAGCCTTATATTTTAGCCTTGTACTTCAGAAACATGTCAAGTGATACTTTTTATTTAAAAAAAGATTTTTAGTCATAATAGGCAAGACTCTCCCCTTTTTCACTGAAGAAAAATATTCACTTTTGGGTTGGGATTACCTCAATTTTCCTTTCTTTTATCTATGAACTCTGGGTGATTTTTTTTAAAGGTGACACATATCCACTGAAATACAATCTTTTTGTTATATGTCATACATTAAAATAATGACAGTTTCTTAAGAACATGTGTGCTTTAATCACTTTCCTAAAAAAGTTAAATTTATGATTAAGAAAAATAAGATTAAGTGACTACGGGAATGATGTGGAACTAATGAACACAAAGTATGTATCTCAAAAGATCAAGCCAGGACCAAACATCATGAAAACTGTTCTTCTTTTATTACATAGTAGCCAAGGAAAATTTAAAGTAAGATTAAAATAAAAGCTGATTTCATATCCCTCTTGTCTTCCTTCAAGAGGGTATGTTTTTTCAAGCTGAACTTCTCTGTCATCAATAATTTTGTAAATTACCTTTTACAAAGGAAGGATAAACCTATCTTTGTGTAAACTCTTACACATCACAAAGAAACTTACTAGCATTCCAAATGTACGGTTTTGGCACAACAACTGCATAGTGTTGAGGGAGGAGAAAAGGGGTTGGCAGAAAGTGTATTTAGGATGCATGCCACCCACCATCAAGTAATGGTTTAAGTAGAAAGTAATCAGAGGGAGACCACAGCAGCTAAATTTCAACCAAAGATATTCTAGGTTTAGAACAATAAATAATTTTAATCAGGTATGTTCCAAGGAGCAAATAGGGCTCTAAGGCTATAACTCAGCCTGAAGAAGCACTTGGCAAGTCTACCAGATCAGCAGCTGCTCCACACACACACAGCACACCACCTGACCTCCCATTCCAACCTGTAACACCGTTGGTACAGAGAAGCCCATATGCTGTGAAATCTAAACACTGTGAACCAGAAAACATATCTAATTTATTAATGCAGACAGCATCTTTCACCTACATCAGAACACATGTCACGAGACAAAGGGTGTTATGAAATTGCTGATATGGATGAAGGAGAGGGACACACATGAAAGCCTTAGCACCTTCCTGGAGTCCTGCCTTATTAGAGCCAGAACTGCCTTATAATAAGGTCTTTTGAGTGTTAGTAACTAAACACTCTTGGAAGAGGTCCAACACGAACCACCCCTCCAGGAGTCTCCAGTGCGGTAACATGACACTTAAGCTTCCACAAAAACCAGTGTCTACATTTGATGAATAAGTCATTAAGACAGTCTCTAGGATGCGAAGGGGATTACTTTTCTTATCAGGGCACACAGCCTTGTGTATAAGCTCGAAGCTGCAATTCATCATTTCAAGGGAACTTCTGGCCTCTGTATCAGGGTTTATCATTTGATGGCATAAGACTACAGTGAGGCTGATAAGAGACACTGAAATCATAGCGCACGGAATGAGCTGAAGCCAAAAAGCATATGGATCCTGAGTCATTCAAATCCTTATCCATCTCCCACTCACGGCTCACTCAGCCCAAAACAAACAGACAAAGAAGCTATACAATATGTGTTAATGAAACAAACTCACATTCTACCTCCAAACCCTGTGATTCACACTAAAAATGAAACTTGTTGATACAAAAAAATACTCCCTAGGAATATTACCAAGAAAAAAGAATATCAAGGTAAGAGGGATTTGAGTATCTCCATGTAGCCACCTGTTTTGCCCACCCAACTTCCTTCCCTCTCTTGTGGCTCCCACACCTCTCTTTCCTTTTAGCTCTGACCTCCGAGCTGCACTAAAGTAAACAGAGCATTCAGTGGTGTGGTCAGCTGTCAGGACAGCCTCCTCAAGTGGCTGGCATTCTGTAGATAACCCAGAACAGGTTTCTGTTTCCTCAGCAGAGGCCAGCTCCGCTAAGAGCACGGATTATGCTCCCAATCTGAAGAAGAAAGTGAAATCTGGTTCAGCTCAGATTCTAGCTAAAGACTTCTGCATCAGAAAGCATAATTCACGTTTATTGTAAATGTCATCATGCCTATGAGCTCTAGAGTGTATATTTACAGTGTCAACTTAGGGCTTTCCTTGATGGATGCTTTGGTTTTCCTTTTTTCCAGGAGTCCTACATATCAAAGCATTGGGAGATTTCTTTCTAGTGATTCTGACAGACTTGATAGAGCATGAGGCATGGCCTCCGTACTTGAAGATTCTTGGCTATTTTTCAACCATTCACCGAAGACAGGCTTTGCAGTTATGTTTCCCTTTATCGTGAATGCAGTGAACAAAAAAGCCTGGTGCATCCTCAAAGCACATAAACCGAGCTAGTGTCCAGGAAACTTTCCTTCAAGCTGTTAGCACAAGGGAGGCAGGTTGTTAGCATAAATTATTCCCTTCACCACAGGGGCCAGGGGAAAGCTTGTTAAGCCATGAATTTCAATCCACAGTGATCTGTGTGTTGAAAAATGGGATGAGCAGATTTTTCATCGCAGATTCCAAGAGGTGTTTACACCCACGGCTGCTTCCCCACCCCCACTCCTCCCAGAGTGGATGGTACACCTCTATTTGCCCAGATGGGTTTTAAATAATAGATACACTGAGCACCTGGCTTAGTTCGTGTGTTTGCCACCAACGGGAAGCCGTCAAGTAGAAAGTGTCAACTATAGGAACACAGAGGACGCGAGTTAAGAGGGTGCAAGGTCTAGAGAAGAGATTGTCTAAAAGGCTAGGCTAGGGGAAGGCGTGTAGTTCAAGTGTGACTTTTCCCTCCCGTGCCCTGGGGTTGGCATAAAATGACATCTGCCTCTAGGTAAACATGGCTAAAGCCCAGTTCCAGGGAATTTCCGCTGACCGACTTAGGAAACATCAACATAAGCACCCCAGAGGTGCTCCAGGCACCCAGGGCAGGAGGGCTACGCTGGGCATGGGGGGTGGGGGGTAACCCCTTCCCTTCCCCACGCTGTTCCTCCAGCAGACCCCCTCCGCGGCTCCGCGCCCTTCTCTCCACTTCTCCCTCCCAATTCGGACTCTAAAACTGGGCTTACTCGCTGGTGAAATGCGGGGTGTGACGGGACCGAAGGTCTGGGAGAGCAGCTGAGAAGGAGGAGGGAAGGTCTCTAGGTAGCACTATAGAGCCTAGAGTAGATGAGGAGGCTGGGGGTCCAAGGAGAGGCCTGGGGCAGGACCGCGAAAAAGAGTGCTCCACCGACACTCACCTGCTGCTCCGGCTCGAAAGCTCCGAACCGTGTTGCCTTCGCGTAAGGGCTGGGGGCGCAGGGGCTGGGAGCGCCGCTCGGAAGACCCTGGTGTCCTCGCCGCCCCGGCCCTGCCGCTGCCGCTGCCGCTGTACCTGTCATAGAGGCGCAGCATGTGCTCCGACACCTTGTCGTGCGGCTGCAACAAGGGGCCCGGGCCACCACCTGCAGTGCGGTCGCCTGGCACAGCCTTGCGGAGCTCCGGGGACTGCTGCTTCAGTCTCTCTTCCTGTGCCAGGCTCACGCAGAAGCAGCCCAGCCACAGGCAGAGCAGCCCGCGCGTCCCGGCCATATCGAGGTCCCCGCAGCGCGTCCGCTCTCTACGTCGCGGGGGGACACTACAAAGGCGCCCGGGGCTGGCGGCCGAGCCGAGAGGGTCGGACTCCAAATGAGCTGGGGCGAGGGCTCCCGGAGTCCGGGCTCTGCCTGAGCAGGACAGTGACGAGCCCTACTTTTTGCGCTGGGGGATCGCGGACCTGCAGGTGGGCTCTTCCCGGGCTGCGGTGCGGACCTCACAGGCGCAGGGCGCTGCAGGCGCCGACTCCACTCCGGCGCGGAGAAAGAGCTAAAGTCACGGCGTGTGTGGCCAGGGTGTTTTCAGGATCTGTCTCTACCCTCCCTCCCCTCTTTGCTTTCGGGCACACCCGACTTAAGCGCGGCGCTGGGGACGGGAACTAGCGCTGCGTCGGGCGCAGTGCCGGAGCGGGGAGCGCGCGGTGGGCCGGAGGGCGCTCGCTCGCCTTTTCCAGGGATTGGAGCAGCCGCGCTGCGGCCGGACCGAGTGTTGAGTGTGTGAGTGTGTGTGTGTGTGTGTGTGTGTGTGTGTGTGTGTGTGTGTGTGTGTGTGTGTGTGAGAGAGAGAGAGAGAGAGAGAGAGAGAGAGAGAGA